TACCTTAAATTCCTTTTTTTACTTTGTTATTTTACGTGACACTAGCAACACACTCTCGATAATGCAATTCGCACTCCCTGATTTGTCGATTTACACTCTCTGACTTCTCAACTAACACTACCTGTTAATCCGCCTTTGCCCCTTTGTCTTTTGTCTTAGCCCGCCACGCACGTGTTCCGCAACAGCTCATGGTCAGGGTCACGCAGGCCTTTTCCGCGAAACCATTCGATTGAAGGACCGACGATACATTGTTGGGCCTGTCGGCACTTCGGCTTTCTCGCGACATTGTTTATAGTTCGCCCGATATCTCTTAGGCCTTTCATTCACGATACTGCACTCGTCCATTCTGACAATCACATCTGCCCTCAGTTGTGCTCATCGTCACTAATTTCACTCGCATCACTAACTCCAACAATGTCCCACTATTTCATTGTGATTAGCCGCCGTGGAGGTCGTTTGCGGCCCCTCGTGTTCGCCTTCTCGCTGCACCATGTCACGGTTATTTCGCAAAACTTTCATCATGTTACAGATGAAATCCGACTAAACAAAGCGATAAGAGAGCGAAATTCCACGCGCCTTAGCGTGAGTGACCATCGGGATAACATACGGTCACTCTATCCGTTTTCAGAAATATATGATCGAAGCCTTTTCCCATTCCCACGAATAAAAGAATTTAAATACTCCCTCTAAAATCATCCAAGTCAGTCCTGAACAGTCACGCTTAGAGCTCGGAAGTGTATTGTAAACCAGAAAAAAATAAAGTTTCTTTTTTTCTTAAATTTCTTTTTGTTTTACGTGACAACCACGCGGTACGGCCCAAGGAACTTCGAATGCAGCTTTAGCCCAGCTTTAGCTACTGATCTCGCTTCTCCTGGAACATAGCAGCCCATTCGTCCTCGACCGGCTGGCCTAATCTACGGATCGTCCCGCATTCTCATCCGCGTTTCAAACAACAGCTGGAACGGGGTAACTTTAGTACTTCTGCTGGGGATTGCATTCAAGTACTTCTGGCGCTGTCTGTAGATGTTGTACTACTCGTTTGGTGTTGGCGCAGACAACTTCGTCAGTTGGAGAATAATCGTCCAGTTTACTCTTTCCACTTGACCGTTTGCCCGCGGAATTTCGGTTTTATTCCTAACGTGCTGTATACCATCGAAGATAATCCTTCTCGGATTTCCGAAACTCACAGACTGCTTCCTCAAGCGACTAATAACCTCCGCAATGTTCAATAACAAAGTTTATTTAACAATTAACACTTTCGCTTCGGGTGTCGCTTGAGGTGTAAGTGTTGTCCGTGACAATTGTAACTGCTGGGGCTGGGTATAGATGTCCCTTGATGGGGTACTGCTGTTTTTCTTCCACTTTTAATGCGTAGAAGAAAAATCGGACCTCAGGTCGCCGGGATTCGAACTTGGATCCCGAACGTTCGGGACCTAAAGCGCTAAGCACTGCGCTGCTGTCGTCCTACTTTAATTAGTGTCGAGTGGTGGTATTTGTTGTCGAGTGCCGCCACACGCTTATAGGCGGCGTCCGCGAGATGGCCTGTGGGTACGAGCGTCGTTTATTGGCAACATCCACGAAATGACCTGTGGGTACGAGCGCCGCATATAGATGGCGACCACGCGACGAATCCTAGGTTCGACACCGCATATATCGAGCATACACCAATGCCATCTGTAGTGAATAATATATTTTTTCATTATCGGCAGAACATTTTCTGTTAATTTTATTGATATATTGGATTAATCACTTCTTAAAAGTTACTCAGTTTTGAAACAACATCAAAACGTTTTACGCAATATATTTCAAACATCCCAACGAACGTATATAAATGTTCGTAAAAAATCTGTTAAATACATTGACAGTGAAACGATATTTCATATACGGTTCTTGCAAGAATTATTGTTATTTAAGACTTAGGAAAACGTATATACAGCAACCACGCACACTGTGCGCATTTCTGGCGAGCGCTTCCGTTCAGTAACAGTGCTTCGGCGGACTGGACTGCCGAAGCGAAAGGGTTAGCAGTCAACAATCAACAATCACGCTTCTCGAATATGTTTGCTTCGCTGTTACGTTAGACCCTTCGCACTTCGCTGTTTGAAATGAAATGAATGTTTTGTTCAAAACCAAACGGATTCTTTTCCTTGTTGCCCCTCGATATCACCACTACGCACGCGTTTGTTAGATGCCGCGATCGTTGCCGCTTATGCATTCTTCCGAATATTCAGCGGAAGAACCGTAGGGATATCGATGGTAGATTAGGCATGTCAGCCTTACGCTTTGATAGTATAGCGATTTGTATTGCGAAGCCGTCGGAAAGTTCCGTCGTCGGGTGCCACATATGTGCTATAAGTAAATAAATCATATGCCGAAAATTTGCAATAATTGCAACAAATTTGTGACCTAAATTTCGCAACTGGAGAGTAAAATAGAAGTAGAAACGGCTCTATTCCTGAAGCCAGTGACAATAAAGAGTTAAACGTGGCAAACGTAGAAAAGAATAATGCGAGTGAAAGAGGATGAGAAAGAGGGACTGGGAGTTGAAGTGTTTGGCAACGTATAAAATATGGGCAAATTTTCTTACTTTTAATTTGTAATGAATAGAACTTTCACAAATTGTTTGTTAGATGTTTTCAATCAAAATGATAAAAAGTACGATATAATTCCTAGCACATTTGCTTATGCTAAAAGATATTTAATGCTCATTGGTAAGTAAATATAATTGAAATTACACCGTGTCTGGTCTCATTTTAATCAAAAAGATTTTACAAATACGTTGGTAGAAGTTTAATCTAAAAAAAATTTAAAAGAAACATACGTTATCTCGGTAATATCTTTTTTTTCTATATATATGTCAAGACAACGTCCGAATCTGGGCCCGAGTCGTCCTTGTGGCGGGGGCTTGGGACAGGTAAGGATTCCTCACTGAAGCTATCCATGTTTTTTACATTGAAGTTATTTTTATTGACACACACACAGAATTGTTACAGAGTTGACACAAACTCACAATGATCACACACTCGCGACGCTAGTGACAATGGTCTTAGGTTCGATAACGAATCCGCGGACAACGGGATGGTAGTCGTACGCACCCGCAAAAATCTAAGTCGGATTCCTTGTTAATATTCACTGACCGTAAGGCGTTAATCTTTTTGTCGATGAGATCGCAAGAGAGAATGACTTTCCGTCCCGGTGACATCTCAGAGGAAAACTATGACGGGGTGTGTCTAAGGACACGAGATCATCGGATTCGTCGGGGATATC